TAAAAGATACATGACCATCTTCAAAAGAAAGTTTGAAATGTTGTTTTTAACGTTGCTAAAGCAACCAGAGGATCTGTGGGAGAGCTATTCAGCCATCATGAAGTTTTCCTATATGTTTGCTAGTTCTCATGGTCAACTGTAACTGAAAGCACTAGCTTTTGTCTTATTATTTATGTTTACTTTAAGCCTCAGATTCAGAACTGTAAAGTTTCTGTGTTCTCAGGTGGTAAAACAAAGGTCTGCTGCCTTCTGTTATACTTGCTTCAAAAGATTTACCCTGATATGCTGACAACAGACTTCATTTGTAAATGTCCATTCAAGCTGTACAAAATCACAACACAGTGAATATGGTGAATGCGAAATTGTCATTGACTGCATCCCACAGAATTATGAGGGGCTGTCACAGGAACTCAAATCACAGAATAATTAAGATTGGATGGGACATCTGGAAGTCTCTTGTCAATCATCTGACTGCAGGAAAACTAACTTCAAAGCTAGATGAGGCTGCCTAGGGCCTCGTCCATTTGAGTTTTGACTTTATCAATAATGGAGAATTCTCTGTCTGCCTCTGTATCTGTTTCAGTGCTTAACTAGTAGATTAACTTAACACTCCCTCAAAAACCAAACCAAAACAAAAAACCCAAACAAAAAACCACACACCAAAACAGAGTCATCAAGGGAAGCGAGGAGATTTCTCCTCTTATTCAGCACCAGTGAGGTCACGTTTGACATACTCTGCCAAACTTTGGGCCTTCAGGACAAGTGAGATAACAACAAACTGCAGAAGGGCCGCTAAAGTGATTAAAGGGCCGGAGCACATGATGGGGAAGCTGAGGGAACTGGGTTTGTTTTGTTCTGATAAGGGACAGCTGAGAAGGATCTAATTGCTGTTCTCTGTTACCCAAATCCTCTGTTAAAAATTACTGCTTTCTGAGATTTTGACTTCAGTGAAGAGAACTTATTTAAAACTTGGGTAGCTGAAATGAAATATGAATAGCTAGAATTACCTATAAAAACAAAAAGAATTTAAGGCACAATTTTAACTGCACCCACTCACACAAATAGTCACATTAGGTCCTACGGAACTCACAAATACAAATTAAACTTTCATCTTTATCCAAGAACACAAAAGCAACACCCATGAAAAGCTATAAAGATAGCCTTTATATTATCAGCATATGACGGCAGACAATTTACCTGATTGTAGTTGTTGATATGTCTTTCCCAATTAAAAAATGGTGTTTTCCTTCCGAGATTTGCTGAGCCCAGGGTGGGTGAAGCCATACTACTTGAGAAATATGGCCAGCGTAAACAGCAGGCATAATCCAGTTCTCAATACTTAATTCACTGTAATGAATGGAGAAAGACTGGAGATAATGCCGTTACTTTCCCTGTGAATAAAACATGGTCAAGAACACAACAAACATCTTTTACATCTTGAAAACCCCTACACAAATCATCTCAAATTAGTACTCTGTGTAAGATTCACATCATCAAAGAAACCAAAAAAGGGAAATCTTTATTCATAAGACAGACCAAAATGTCTACACTCGAATTTAAAAAGTTAGATTTATAGAGTGCAATCAGCTTCACTCTTAGCATGGCACTTTGATTATAAACTACATGGATTTGTTGTCCTTTTTCTCTTGATACATCACACAGAGGAATGTACAAGGAGTATCATGAACACTGTTCTAAATAACTTCAAACGGACCTCAAGGGAGTATTTTACTGTAAACTTCTCAAAGTAGATTTAAAATACAATCTCAGTAATTAAAGAGAGTCAATCAACACCTACAGAATAGCAGCTTTCCTGACTATCAGCACCCCGTTTTTCAGGTATATGATATAGCCCATGAAACTTCTTATTCATCCAACACAGAAAACAAAATATTGACAATGAGTAGCATGATAACAATTATTTACAAACCAGTTACATTATCTTGTCATTGCTGTAAATCACTACAACACTGAAGCAATCAATACTTTTTTTTTTTAGAACAGGAAAAGAAAGACAATAGCAAAGATCATTCTATGACTTGTTACTGACCTAAGAAGTTGTGGAAAAATACTGGTCCTAATGATCTTAATAAGAAAATCTTGTTCAACTTCACATATTCACCATGTCAACATAGAAGTTATTTCAATCTCAAAGTCAATCTTTTGGTATGAAGACAGAAAAGCTGTTTTAAAATCACAGCTCTTCAGACAGAAAGCATACACTCAGGGTGCTGTCCTGTTACTCAGAGGAACTACTAACTGGCCTAATAACAAAATATACTATTGAACAACTAAACAAAGTAAAGTTGTAAGTCTTAAATGGCTTGATATGCAACTTAAATAATTGCCTACAAAACACAAACACATTTTTTCATCCAGAAAAAATAAAGTTTTCAGCAAAAGTGAAAAGACAGAAGATACAACTTGAGGCTGACTTACACCTCTTTTGTTCATACATCCTACACAGTCATACCAATATTCACTGTAAATCAAAGGGAGCAGGAAGTAGACTTAGAGTATTTTGACTTACCTAAAAAGAGTTTCTTTGTCAAATACAGTGTCTGCAGGCATATTCACAGGAATAAGAAGATCTGGATGGGAATCAAGATGAACAAAGCTGATGTTACTGGCAGGAAGATGCTTTGAACCAATGGCACGATAGATGAAAGGCAGCACCTAAAACAACACAAACAAAAATATTTCCATTGTAACCAGTGAGCTGAAAAATTCAACGGCTTTAACAGCAAAAACACTAGTCCCACTCTTATTCCTTTAGAATTTGGGTTAGAGGGAAGAGGCAACGAAAAACAATACAAAGGAGAAACAACTCCAGTGGCAAGACAGCTCATGAACTGTAATCACTATAAGCCCAGGAGTTCCACACATGATAAGCTGCTGAAGAATCACAGCTCTACTCCTTCTTTCCTTCATTACAGGAAAACTTGTCTGCTCTTCTCACTAATCACTCAACTCAATTCCTAGTTTTTTTCATTTACAATTGAACCCCAGGAAT